CACTGACCCCAGGATTCAAGGTGCAGCCTCACAAGTGCTGGAGGACAAGAGGCTGGAGAGCAGCCCCACAGAATGAGATTGGGGGTTTGGGTTGATGGTAAGCTGAGTATGAGTCAACAGTGTGCCCTGGTAGCCAAAAGGGCCAACCATTTCCTGGGGTGCATCAAGCACAGCATAGCTAGCTGGTCCAGGGAAGTGGTTGTCCCGCTCTCCAAGGCACTGGTGCCACTCTGCCTGAAGTACCATGTGCTGTTTTGGGCACCTCAATAAAAGAAGGACCTCAGACTATTAGACTGTGTCCAGAGGAGGATGACCAAGATGGTGAAAGGTCTCAAGGGCAAGACTTGTGAGGAGCAGCTGAGGTCACTTGGTTTGTTCAGCTTGGAGAAGAGAAGGCTGAGGGGTGATCTCATTGCATTCTACAACTTCCCCAGGCGGGCAGCAGAGGGGGAGGTGGTGATCTCCTCTCTGGTGACCAGTGATATGGGACACATGGAAATGGTATGAAGCTGTGTCACGGCAACTTCAAGTTGGATATTAGGAAAAGGTTCTTCACTGAGAGGGTACGTTGTCACTGGACCAGGCTCCCCAGGGAAGTACGTGGTCACGCACCAAGCCTGTTTGGACAACACTCTTAGTCATATGGTTTAGTTTTAGGTAGTCCTGTGAGGAGCAGGGAGTTGGACTTGGATGATCCATATACATCTCTTCCAATGCGAGATATTTTATGATTAACTTGTTTACCTTTACAGTACAGAATTAGTTATGCTAACTGTCAGGTCTTTGGCATCTGAAACACTTATCTCACGCATTTGACTTTGTGTAAGAAGGCTCAGTGAAAAGTTGAGCATGCTATGTAATGTGCTTCCGTAGGAGCAATTGGAATGGAGTAATAACCCTGGAGCCTTCCCTGATAAGGCTAAATGTCTTGGGAGTATGGTGCAGACCTTCAGCCTCCAAAGGAATACCTTAACACAACCTCCATAAACAAGTCTCCAGTGGTTACATACCTGGATTGTATCAGGTGCTTTTGAAAGAGGGATGAGGGGAGGATATGTGCACAGATGGAGGGTAGCAGCAGAAGAGGAGGAACAGTGGGAACAAAAATAACAAGGAGTTGGAGGGAATTTACTTCTGAGGACAAGTTTTAAAGTTTCCAGCACTTCAAACATAATGTCCCACTGAAAAGAGGACAGAAAAAAACATTGTCATGGAAAACATTTACTTTCATGGCTCCTGTTGGTTATGAATGGAGGGGAAGAAGTACATGTACTTACTACAGAGACTAGACACTAGGAAGAAATGTTTTCCTGTGCGGGGGATGAGGCAGTGGCCCAGGTTGCCCAGAGAAGCTGTGGATGCCCCATCCCTGGAGGGGTTCAAGGCCAGGCTGGATGAGGCTTTGGGCAACCTGGGCTGGTGGGAGGTGTCCCTCCCCATGGCAGAGGGTGGCACTAGACAAGCTTTAAGGTCCCTTCCAACCCAAACCATTCTGGGATTCTATGGTTCTGCTTGAAGCTGCTCACTGTGGGACATCTGCACATGCTGTAGTCCTTTCTCTGCTGGTCACAAATGAGCTACCAGTGTCCTGTTCTGGTCTGCTGGTGCATCCAAGGAGCTCTGCCTTCTTTGCTGCGTACCTGCCCAGAGGCTGGATGCAGGTGGGACAGATTCTTCCTGGGGACCTACACACTTGACCTCTCTTTGAGGAAGGCCCTAGACCCATTTCCTTTTACAGGGTTCAAATGCAGGTGTCTGTCACCATGCTTGTGACAAGGGGAAGGGCTGGGAAGTGAAGGGCCCTGTAAAGCTTTATATTGCCGTTGCAGAAGGACCATATTAGCCAATAGTTGCTGGGAAAGTGAAAAATGTCACTGCGGTATCCCTGTAACTTTTCTGATGAAATTCAATATATAGTTTCTGCTAGTATTAGAATGAGGAGGTGTTTCCCACTCAAAGGAAAGGATGTGTTTAGGACTAGACAGAAGGACAGTTTTAGGACTTTTTCTGGTTCTGTGGGAATATTTTTAAACCCTGCTCATTAAACAAACAAATAAATGTATAAATGCAGCTACTTTTGAGGCAGGTTCAGCAATTCCTGTAAGACATTTTGCAGTCTTGTGTGAGTGAACATGACACAATAAAATATACATGCACAAATTTCAAAATTGCAGTCATATGGTTTTGGCCTTAAAAGGGTGAGTTGACATGATGCCTCAAAACTGATTCTGGTGTTCTTTGTTACCAGTCTGTCTACAGGACAGCGTGTTAGCATTCTGGAAACACGGCATGCAAGGAAGGAGTTTTAGATCAAATGAGGTGAGTACTGGAATTTGCTTCAAATTCTAGCTTCCAATACAAGCCAAGCAGAGGATAAATGCATAATTCTGTGGTGTGAAAAAGAGTAAAACATTACAGTAACTTCCTAGGTTAGATCTGAAGTTAGAGTCTCATTCTGAGTGTGTTTTCTAAGTTACAAACTAATCAGTGAAGCTATACAAGAACCCTTGTCAAGTCTAACATACAAAGCAGAAAGCAACAAGAGCCTGGGCCGTGATGCCGCAGAAAATAGCCAAGCCTAATTCTTGGTAACAGTAATCTTCCCCTTAAGTTGCTTTGAAGACCAGTGTCAGTCCCTTAGCCTTTCACGTGTGGATACCAACGTTGGGGCTTTGCCAATGGTTGCATGCTCCACCGCTGAGTTAGCTTTTTGTCAGTGTCGAATATGTTGCCCGTTGTTTTTTAGTCTCTTCAGTGTTCCCTTGGCTTATGAGGACTTTGAAGATTTTAGTGCACAGCTTTCACAAGAAGTAATTTCCATTCCCAGGAGAAAAATGTCAGATTGACCTAAAGATTTTTTTTCCAAAATTTCTGTGTAGTCCCTTTTTTTCAGCCAGTTTTATGTGATTTTTAGACATTGTTAAACCATTATAAGTACACCTTCCAAACTCCTTTTTTTTTTTTTTTCTTGCTGCAAACCTTGTGCATCTATGTGTTGTGGGAATGTTGTGTTTTGTAGGATTTTAATGAGTCTTTTAATTTGGTTATTAAGAAATGTTTACAAACAGTTGTCTGAGAAATTGAGCTCATTGTGACTAATTGTATTTTAGGATACACGTACAGTCGCACCATGCCAAGTTTAGATAACTCCCCATTGTTACAAAACTACATTTATTTGCAGAAAGCCACAGCTGACCTGATCTGTGCTGACAGTGAGCCTGCTCTTTGTGGGAAGTTGGACCAAAGACTAGAGTCAGACTACTCCTTATTTCCAAATCTGCAAATGATCCATGTGGCATTTGTGCATGTTTGATCCCCAGGCATGACTGTGTCTCCTGAGAACTCCAGTGGTGAACTGCAGCACCCTGCTGTTAGCAAAGACCATGAGGAGGAGATGATGCTGCTGGGCACTGCTCTAGCTCCAGACTTTGCTAGCAGCACGGTGCAAGGCTCAGTGGATCGCTCCACCCGCTGGCACTCAGGAGCTCTAATCCAGTTTAGGGGACATGCCTTGGAGCGCTGCAGCACAAGTGTCTTCTTGCTTTGTTATTGTCAAGCCGAAGCCAGCACCTAAATGAAGAACAGAACTGAGCTGTTGTCAGAAAGCAAGCCACCCAGAAGTTTTTCTCCGTAGAACATATCTAGGTTAAGCTCTCAGGCTTTAAATTCCTTCTCGCTCCTGGCTGTCTTACTAGCCACAGCTATTAAGAAAAAAAAATGAACTAATTTTCACCTGTAATATGAAAAGTCTGGATTACCAGGCTCAGATCTTGACCATATTCATTACTTTTGGGGAATTTTATGCTATGTAGTATGTAGGAAGTGGTTATACAGGACAAAAGGTTGACCAACCTAACGCTGCAGCACATTTGTCTTTGAAGACATTATTTGTTCAGATTCCCTAATATCAGTTGGTCTATTTGGGGATGATTTGAGCTGCTTGCAAAGGTATTTCCTTCCACAGCCATGACCTTCCACAGTGGCTTGACTGAGTGGGAAGAGTGAATCAGGGAACTGTGTGAATTCTGAGAAAAGACACTCAAAACTGGGGCCAAGATTGTGCGGACTCAGCCCCACAACAAGCAGGAAGTAATTTTCTTAACAAAGTGGGGAACTTCGTTGTTGTGAATTAAAATTACAATTGTAAATTGTTAACATCAGTTATAGTCAGTTATTTTCTCTAGCTTGATTTTAGAAAACAAAATAAAACACTTGTGCACTTAACATGTAAACGCTTGTCTTATTTTTATTGTCTAGATCACACAAGAAATTTCAGATAATACAAGGATATTCAGGCTTCTGGGATCTGACAGGTATGAAGAGAAGTGATCATGGCATGCTAAAACAGAAGAATAATGTGTGTTCCTTCTACCTTGTAAAAGTTCTTTTTGCTTGTTTCTTGTGATTTCTTTTTTAGCCATCTTACTCATTCCTTTGTGTATGTGTCTACCTTTCATCACTTTAAGTTTACTCTTCTTTCTTTAAAAAAAAATAATCTTTGTCTGACTTGGTCAAATCTTTACTTTCAGATGCTCTGCTGCAGTAGGTCATCAAGATCTACTTCTTGAGACAAATGCAAAAAATACTTGAAAATTTCGATACCTCACTTTCACCCCCAGAAAGGAACTCTACCAATTGTCCTCTCAACATGACAGCTTAGGTTTTGTAAGAGCTTTTGATAATTCCCAGCATAGCTGTTCTTTGACATCTGCTTTGCAGTACACTCTCACTGTGTCTGACCCATCAGATACCAGTTTGCTGAGTCAGTAACTGCTATTTTAGGAGTGTCCCTGACTTACTCAACTTTCTCTGCCCTGCTGTCGAACTTTGTCCTTCTGTAACAGCCGTAAAAACAGCAGATGTTTTGTCTTCTGGGGAGCGCATGCTGACGCAGTGGTTTCACCAGTGATGTATTCACGTGAAGTGTGAAGATAGGCTTTATTTTTTCTTTGAGAATTGCCTCTGTCTTAGGCCAGTCACAGTAAACTCACTGCATCTTGTGGCATCTTAGAACTACCAAAAAAGCTTCATATCAACCAAAGGTTTTCCCCTTATTCTGCTTCTCCAAGCTTGATGCACAGCCCTGTAATTACCCAAAACATCAACACCAGTGAACGGTGCTGTGGCTTTATTGGCTAGCTACCAGTGACTTTTGCTGGCTGAGGGTCGGGGATTCTGCAATGCCCCATAGCTCTTTGGTAATGGGTAGTTGTAAGTAATACTCATCTCTGACCCGAGGGTTTGATTCTCTCTGTCCAGTGAGGTGTGCGTGGAGCTCAGCTTTCTTATGTCATTTCTCTTAGTTTTTGCGAGCCAGCACAGCTCAGTTTAACAATGAGTCTGACTTCACAGAGAGGCATGACATCGCAAATCATTGCCTTGGAAAAAGAACGTTTTCTTCCCCAAATACAGTTCCATCTATTTCTGGCTTACACTAATAGTCTGCCAAGTCTGAGAACACGTTGAAAGACATTGCACTGCAGTAACCATTCATTCCAATTTCTTTAGATACCATTTTGCTTGCAGCTCTGTCATATTTTGTGCTTTAGCTGTGAAACCTTTTTCCAGTAACACGTCATTTCCTAGGACATTTGTAGGAACTGGAGTTCTAAAAAGCCAAAAAACTTGACTTGTCTGATAAGAGCTTGTGTGTTGCTTTCTCCTCGTGAGCCGGGAATGCCTTATGGCATGGCGTGTCGTTCCCTTTGTGGAGCACAGTGAGCAGAGGAGAGGTTTTCTGAGCCATAGTTTTGAAGCAAGCAACCTCTCCTTGGGTGAATTGGGCACAATAGATGGATTTGAATTGCCCATAATCTACCTTCACTTCAGAGTGTTTGTGGAAGAGAATTCAATCCCGAACGTCTTGGTCCATTTAGCAGTTTTAGCAGTTCTTGCCTGATTAGAAAAGAGGAAGAGAGAAGGTTCTGCACATAGTGGTCCTTTCCTCGAGGACTCTCAGCCTGCAAGTCCTTGTCTCTGGGACTTTCAGAGCTGGAGGAGGTTTCTTGGGCTCAGGGAAAGACTAGAAATGCTCACAGAAAAGTCAGCTTTGGTGAAGACTTCCAGAACTGGAGCCTGATTAACGGGTTAGCTTTGTAAAGCTCCAGGGAAGCACAAGCCCAGGCAGTTATGGGGGTGATGGACTCTCTTCAGAAACTCCCTGAACGGACGAGAGGCAACAGGCATACACTGCAGCAAGGGCAATTGCAGCTGGATAAAAGAGGGGAAAACATCATGGTGAGGATGGTTGAACACCGCAGTAGACACCCAGAGAGGCTGTGGGAGATCCTTGAAGACAAGACACTGAGCTAGTTCTGGGGCTGGCTTCGCTTGGAGGGGCTTTTGGACTAGATGCATCCCGGGAAAGAGAAATGACCACTGGTCAGATGGATCTCAGGAAAGAATATTTACAGTTATATCCAGGGATGTGTTTAAATGAAGGCTTACTCAATGTTGTGGCTTTTTTATTTTCATTTTAGGGTGGTGGTGCTGGAGAGTAGGCCGACGGACAACCCGACAGCCAACAGCAATCTATATATCCTGGCAGGGCACGAGAACAGCTACTGAGAACGGCGGATGGCAGCAGCTCACCACGGCAGGAGAACTCCCCCGCTGCAGCAGCATTCACGGCTGGCTGAAATTGCACAAAAGCTGCAGTAACCTGACTTCAGTTACTTTCTAATTTATTGTGGCATGAGAGGAAGACGAGAATTGTTTGTGGTATGGACACATAAGCATTACGATACCACAGAAGTGCTTCATTTACTGTTATGTAGTCTTTGTACATATGCAGCATTTTTCAGCGAAACTTCTCGCTGAAGACCTCCACTGACTTTCTGTAGATAGCAGTCCTTCTGTTAAGTACAAGTGTGTTACCTGTACAGATGTAAAAGTCACTGAGGATGCAAAAATGAAATCGGGTACTATTTCAAGGACTTCTCATGTGTTTATAATGAAGTGGGATGCAAGCAACAAATATACTACATTTAACAACACTGTTGTATTTTATTAGGTGTGACTTACTAATACAAATAAATCTTCACTTTTAGAAATTGTAACCAAGGCTGTAATCAGATTACAATCTTGTTTTAATCTTGATGCAACACACTGGTGTTCATGTTTGCACAACTTCTTGAGATGTGATGTATTTAGTCACAAAGGTAAGCTGTGACTTTGTGGATATGACTTGGGCTTCAGAGTTCCTTTTTTTTTTTTTTTTTTTTAGTTTACTTGGGTAGTTTTCTTTGTGAAACAAACCAGTGAAACACCTGTATTTTTATATTTAATTACAGCTGTCCTTACAATTACTTCCCTATGCTTGAAAACAAAACTTTCTAGATGGGCGTCATTCCCAAACTAGTGGTACCTGGCTGTAACACTGCAATAGGTGTTTGAATCATTAGTGTATACAATGATAAAAATTAGTATTACTGTTTGTCTTACTAAATAGTTTCACATCCCAATGAAAAGGAGCAACATTCCACATTGTGGAAATGGCTCAGAGATGTTGCCATTTTGACTTTTTTTGGCCTTATAACCATTTCCACACTGTTCTTGATTTAGGATGTTAACACATGGCCAAAATAATTTAGTTACTACCTCATTCAAACAATACAATGGTTACTAAGTATCGCAGAAACTTTGTTTTGATCAGAATCTAATTTTGATTGCTATTTTCCAATGGAGTATGTAAATGCCAAGTTTTAGCAAAATGCACACATTTGACTCATTTTTTTGTATATTCTTTTTATTTTATTGTGATAATATACACTAAAACCAAACTAAATTTAAAGTGATTTATGGCCTGTATTATTGTTGTGATTGGTATTGCTTTGAAAGATGTTCCCTAATGTATATAATGTAAAATAAACTTTTTTTAAGATATTGTTGTACAATTAGATTACTAACTGCACTAATTTTCCACATAAGACTAAAATGGAACATACTGAGTTTTGAATTCTGCTATTAAATGTTTTTGCCAAACACAGAAGCTGGGCATTTCTGAGTGCGTGAACGGTCAGTCTCACTGTAGGCTAGCACTTGTGGGCAGGCATTATTACCCTTTTGGGCTTTAAGCAATGGATATATGCATTTGAGATAAGTCTTTCAAAATTCCACCTAGTTTGTTTTCTTCCCTCCATCACCTGGTTGTTTTTTTTTTTCCACCTCTGTTGCTTGCGAAACTTTTTTTTTTTTTTCAGCAAGGCTTTTTTTTTTCTGCCTTGTAGAAGGGGTGGTAATGCAAGCCTCACTGCTGCGAAGCCAAATTCTTAGAAACGGTGAGAACTTGTGTGTGTTTCACAGCACACTTGGGCTGCTGCCCAAGGGGGATTTCCATCCTGCCTCCCTTCTTCACTTTGATGTGCAAAAAGGAGCTAAATTTTAACCAAGTACAGTATAGCTGATGTGCTATAAATGTGCTTCCTCCTGCGGGGTTTCTGCAGCAGCTACGGCCAAGTCTCTTGCTATTTGAGGCTGTTGGGGCGTTGCTGAATTACAGGCAACAGGAGCTACGGGATATTGGGGTTTATTCTGGTTGAGCATTTTTGGTACAAGGATGCAGCTGGAAGAGCTAAAAATAAAGAGGGCAGGGTAATGGCATGCAGGAAGAAGGGGAGCTTTGTGCTCAAATCTGTTGGTATAGCCAGGACAGCTTTGCTTTACACGTGCTGCTCTCCAGCTTGAAAGACGTGGAAGAAGCAAAGGGTTCCTGCTTTTTTGAGGAATTGTCCTGTTGCAGGATTGGGGGTCTGTGCCAGAAAACTGCCTCTCCTTCATCCTGAGCTGCTCAGCTACTCAGCTGGCATCTGCCCTCCGCTGACCCCAGAAGCCTGGATCTGCTTTGCTAGACCTGCACTTGCCATGAACTGCAAAGTTTCCTTGAGCCGTGCTCAGTGGGAGCTTCCAGCACCCGCCTCCTGATGTCAGATTGAGATCAGTGTGTGGCTGACTGATGGGAGCACAGTCAGAGCCAGGAAACTAAACCACAGGCATGATGACAGAGCAAGGCTCCTGCCTGCAGCGAGTTGATGCAGCTTTTCTAACAACCTGTGTGGCTTCCCTTTTTCTTTCTCCTCCCAGCCCCTTCCACTCTGGCTGCTATTGCTGGCTTCTATCCCAGCCACAAGCGTGTTGTGATGTGGCCGCGTGATGGGACATTCACCAACCCGGCAGCAAAGTTCGATCAGTGCAGGGGCTGAGCTTGGCTCTCAGTCCAAACAGCTTTCTTAAAAGAGAACAAAGAAGCAGGGTTGCTTCAGTCCATGGCAGAAGTGCCCCTGGAAGCTGGGAAGATAGGGGAACACTGCTTTTCTCATGTTCTTGCACATCTCTACGTGCACTGCTGCCTGCTCCTGTCAGAAAGAGGATCTGGTGACCTGAAAAAGAGGGGATTCAGATGTGTCCCACTGCCCTTGACTGAAAGCAAGAGCTGTGCGAGGTGGAGCGCATGTTGCTGGCTGCCCATTCCTTGTAGCTTTGGCACTGGGACATTGCAATGGAGCTGGGGAATACAGCAATACTGTGAGCAGTGATGGGGATGGATGTGTCCCCCAGGCAGGGGGTTTTTTTGTTTGGGTTTGTTTGGTTTTTTTGTTTTTTTGTTTTTTTACAGGGTTCAGCTTTAGCAATAGCACCACATTGTTTTTGAAGTAATTGTGAAAAGGTGGGGAAAACAGCTGGTAAAGCCAGGGAACACACTAAAACCTCTTGCTTCCCCTCAAGGAAACACTTCAGGTTGATCTAAAACATGACTATAGCGAGTCATGTTCCAGGCCTGTGTCATCTGTCAAGAGGTGCAAGAAGGAGCTGGGGGAATGTGTCTGGAGCGAGGGACATGGACCCTGGTGGGCTCTGAAGTCCTCATTGTGGAGGGCAATGCTGAGTTCACTGTCTGCTCAGCATTATCCTCTCCAACAGAGCTGCATCACTGTTGCTAGAGGTCATTTCCATCCTTGGGCAGCACCTCCTTGCATGCAAGTTTTCCCTTTAGATCCAAGAAGTTCAAGTTCAGGTCCCCCTTGCTTTGCTCTGACAGGCAGCTACTCCTCGCAGTGTTTTGCAGGATGAATACAGGAGTGTGTCCTGAGCTCCTGGCCAGCCCTCAGGACAGTATGGCAATGACCCTCCACCTCATCCTCCTTTTCCTCCTCCAGCAGCACTGGGGGATCCCCCGAGCCTCTCCATGCCACACACCGACATTGTACACCCCCATTAAGCCACCCCTGCACTGGCCGTGGCCCTTGGTTTCTGCTCCTTCTAACAGCAATGGCAGTGAGTCTCATCTTCACTTCCTGACATAAGGGCAGGTCATCCCACTGCCTGGTTCCCTGCACCTCCCCATGCCACTGAGCTTCCCTCTGTGCCCTTGTGATCCAACTCCTCTGTCACTTTGACTGTATGAAAGCAGCCCCCCGCTTTCAACTCTGTGCTCTTCCCTGCAAGAGCTTGCACCGTAATGAGCACCCAGACAGCTGCAGTCCTTCCTCCAGCTCCTTAGATGATAGAATCATTAAGGTTGGAAAGGACCTCAAGGATCATCAAGTCCAACCGTCAACCCAACACCACCCAACCCACTAACCCATGTCCCCAAGCACCACATCTACACGTTTCTTGAACCCCTCCAGGGATGGTGACTCCACCACTGCCCTGGGCAGCCTGTTCCAATGCCTCATCACTCTTTCAGGGAAGAAATTTTTTCTAATATCCAGCCTAAACCTCCCCTGTCACAACTTGAGGCTGTTTCCTCTTGTCCCATCACTTGTTACTTTAGAGCAGAGCCCAGCACCCCCCTCACTGCACCCTCCTTTCAGGCAGTTGTAGAGAGTGATGAGGTCTCCTCTCAGCCTCCTCTTCTCCAGACTTAACCCCCCCAGCTCCCTCAGCTGCTCCTCGTCAGACCTGTGCTCCAGACCCTTCCCCAGCTCTGCTGCCCTTCTCTGGACCTGCTCCAGCCCCTCAATGTCCTTCTTGTGGGGAGGGGCCCAACACTGACCTCAGGATTCAAGGTGCAGCCTCACCAGAGCCGAGTCCAGCGGCACAATCCCTGCCCCAGTCCTGCTGGCCACACTAGGTGCCCTCCCCTTGGAGATGTTCACATCCAGGCACAGGAACCACCAGTGCCTGTGCCTGCCTGCACTTTCCTCCATGGACAGGGCACAAAGTGGCCTGGTGACAGCAACTGCTGAGCAAACAGCATCCTATTGCTCTCAGTTGTGCTCCACCCTTCAGTGGACCCATGGGTCTTTTCCCCTCCTGCCATGCAGGCTGGTTTACTTCCCAAGAGCAGTTTTATTTGCCACCAGCTCCTCAGACAGCCCTGGATATAGTTAAGTCTTGTTCAGCTGATTTACAAGCAAAACTACACCCTCCATGCAGTGAGTGTGTGACCAGGTGGAGGCCAGCGAGGAACCCAGAATGCCCTGGCAGCACCAATAAACCCAGGATGTCCCCAGGCAGGGACACTGAAAAGGCACAGAAAGCCAAGAGGGGAAGGCTATCAGCTGGTGCTTGGGGCTCTGGGTGGAGAGAGAGCTCAGGCCCAGACTGTCCTGTGACTTCACCAAAGAACCAACAGAACGCAGTGCCTTCATCCTCACATTACGCAACGTTGTTTTGTTTG